ACCGTCCAACACCATCTGACACTGACATAACAACAGCAGATACTGTCGTCTGTCCGAAACCGTATGGCACGCTCCAACACCTGCCGCCGACGCCCGACACTGCCGAACATTATCGGCGACTACCGTGTGGGGCTTTTGAACTGAGATTGGCCATTTAGGAGGTTGCTCAGTGCAGTTCACAGGTATGCCACTCTTCAGTTAAAAACCCGTCTAAAAAATCGCAGATTTGTCCCAACTAATTTTGATTTCTGTCTTACCAGAAAAGCGTCAAATATTTGCGTCCGAGTATCCATCTCAGTTATTGGCTGAACGTAGTCTGAATTGTGATTTCTTTAAATTAATCAAGTACGGTCTTGAGTCAGAATAATTATCTACCATCACAATCAATTAAACCGTCTTGCTGCGCGAAAATCCAACACGAGCGCTCCGCTCACCAGCCACACCTGTCTGTAGCCAAGATCGGCGACCGTCAAAATATCGGCGAACGCCAAACTCTCTTGTTTCTGAACTTGACGTCTGTAAACTTGTAAAGGCTTTTTGTGCGGACAATGTCAAGGCCACCCAGATATTCATGACGCCATACAAACGCTACGCAATTACCACCATCTCATTAGTCATGTAATGACAGAGACCAAAAACAATCAGCAAGATTTGTGGCATCAGCAGTTATCAGTTGGCCTTAAATCATTTTGATGCGTTCAATGCGAGTTCCCAATACAAATTATCTGTTATGCTATAAAGTACAGGACTTTGGACAGTGGCACGAGTTGTGACGGAAGTGAGGTTGGTAAACCGAATTACTTATAATAGTGCCAAAAGCGAATATGTGAAGGCAAGTAACAAATACAAAATTATGGACAAATATGCAAAAACACCGCGAGAAAGCTAAATTAACGGTATGCTCTAAGGATGTTAGGTTTTCGCCAGCCCGTGCGTCATCTTTCGACAGCTTACAGTACTACCGGGAAGTCAGCCGGCCGCTAACGATGGCAATTCTAACACGGTCATCTGGCAGCGACGCTGACGTCATACAAACCTTCCATGGCGTGATCAGACGATGACTTATTGAGGAGCATAGTTACTAAATCGTGTGATTGTTTTGCCTAGAGCAGTGTTTTGCACTTTTTTATAATTTATCCGAATGGTTTATATGGGTGATTTCGGATTCAGAGTACCTGCTAAGCATAGCTTGTTGCGTGTACCCCCGAACCCAACCACCCAAGCGTGCCGTCCAGTTCAACAGCTAATTTTGCCTCCGCCCTTTCGCCGGACAGGAATGCGGAGGGTTTACGTGCCCGCACAATCTGCGACACGGCCGCCTCGGGTCTGGGTTGAGCCTCGTTGGCCAGTTGCCAGCTGGCCTTTCCGTTTCAGTCGGGTCAAACAATGCGCCCAACTCTGGGACTCGTACCCAGTGCGGCTGGATTACGAGTCCAGCATCTTTCCCCAAGACCACGGAGGCGGCTAAAAGCATACCAATTACCAATAAAGCATACCAATAAAGCATACCAATAATCACAAGTGAACACATGCCATCATATCTGGTGCTTGCCTCAGTATTTCCAAGTGTGAAACATTCCCTTCAAGGGTACACACGTTAGCCGGCGGAAATCGCTTGAGGCGCATTTTTTAAAAAGTGCACAGGACGTATTTCTAAGGCCACGGGCTTGGAGCCCAGTAATAGACCCTGTGGGCGGTTCTGAGATGGCCCAGCTGGCGGAGGTGGCAGCCCCACACATTTCTCCCGAACCGCAGTTATTAAAATGAATCGTGGGTGGCACCAAGAAGGTTAAGCGCGAGCGTAGCACCAAGACGTGCGAGCGTTGGATCAATCATTACGCGTCCCCTCGTCTGCAGCGCAGCTGTTCTAAGAACCGAATCGCGCGACTCGCCCATTCGTTGCAAGATCCTGGCCTGATGATGATAGCATAGAGACGATGAATTCTGTTTGGCAGACGATGGGTTGACAGTCGGGCTATACGTTTTGTTTACGCGTGCCGCCGGCGTTATTACCGGCCATCTAGACGCTCGCCGCACGAAAACGAGCTTATTTTTATTTCTGTCCCAATTTTCATTCCTTTGAAATATCGTGGTGTTTCGCACAGGACTTTTCGCCGGCCGCATCACAATACATATTCCTTTAGCGTAAACAAAATCGACAATTGTGGCCTTTCGTTTTCCTTTCCATTTCCCGATTCTCCGCGGGCCATCCTCAACTGCCCCTTTGTTTCGCGTTGTCAAAGTGGGGATGATAGAGGGGCGAAAGTGGCCCCTGGGGTGGCATCCGACCTCGGAGAACGGCTCCCGCCCTGGCGATATCATTTGGCCCGCTCCCTCGGACGCTCTCCACTCCGGGGCCGTTGTTGGCCGGGGAGAAGTGGCAATTGAATTAAAAGGAAGCGACCGGCGCGTATTGGCACTGGGTGGGGCAGCGGCCGGCTGCTGACCCGTTGCTGGCGTGCGGCAGCAAACCGCAGGCACGCAACATCACACTCACAGCTGCTCAACGCACCGAGAAGGTGGCCAACTGGTGAGCCAAGGTGAAACGCGCAGGGACGCCGCCGAAGTGAACCGCACTAAACTGAGCGCGCCTCAGCTAGGAGACATTGGCAGTTGGTGCCGCCCCACATGGCACGGCTGGCGGGAACAGGCGAGCTGACGGCAGACGCAATGAACGGACGAGCGTGGCAAAACGCGAACGGACACAGGTAGGCAGGATCATAGACGGACACGAACGGACACGAACGGACACGTCGGACGGACACGAACAGGAGCGGACAGGCACTGCCAGGCGCGTGCGGAAGCGGACGGACACTGAATGGGCTGAGAGCACATGAGTCAGCACGGGGAGGTTGGCCGGGACTATAGAGGCAGACGGAGCTAACTCGCTCTGGGTGTGGACCGAGCGGATGACGCGACAGAGCGGGCGGGCGCGTACGGGGCGGACTGGTGCGGACGGAGCGGATGGGTGTAGACAGAGATGATGGGTTTGGATAAAGCGGGCGGGTGCGGACAAAGAGGAGGGTGTGGATGAAGCGGGCGGATGCGGGCAAAGCGGAGGGTGTGGATGAAGCGGGCGGGTGGGGGGGCGGGCAAAGCGGATGGGTGCAAAGGAACGAAGACTTGGCGGACAGATGTAAACGAAGCGGGCAGGCGTGGTAAGGGTGCAGATGAAGCGGACGGATGCAGACGATGCAGACGAGTACAGGTTAAAGGACCGGTGCACACGAAGCGGACGGCTGTGAACGGATATGAGTGGGTACAGATGAAGCGGACGGGTATGGACGGGACGGGCGTGGAAGG